TTGATGATGTGAGCACCTTGTGTTTGTTGAGTGTGATCATGTGTAAACTTCTGCATGAGTTTCCTGGCAGACTGAGGCATGAACCTAACTCAGCCCCTGTGCTCAGATAGACACATAGGATGGACAAAGGTCTGCCAGGTGTATCTGTATTCATGTGTTCCCCAACATGTGTACCAGATCAGTACACAGTTGACTGTGATCAGTACATTAAAACAGAAACAGACAAGGTTAGCATTTAGACTTATGTAGTTTGGTTGAACATCTAAAGGCATTGTAAAAAGGGATTGGGGTACTATCTGTCTTTCTTTCTTTCTTTCTTTCTTTCTTTCTTTCTTCCTTCCTTCCTTCCTTCCTTCCTTCCTTCCTTCCTTCCTTCTTACTTTCTTTTTTTGTTGTTTTTCAGACAAGGTTTTTCTGTGTAGCCCTGGGATGTCCTGGAACTCACTCTGTAAACCAGGCTGGCCTTGAACTCATAGGAGAGATTCCCAAGTGCAGGAATTAAAGGCATGTGCCACCATTGCCTGTCGATAGTGGTGTGTGTGTTGGGGGGTACTTCCTGTCTGGGACTCCACCTCCCTTCACTGTAACAGCTGGTTTCAGAAAATCTACTCCCTTAGAAAAGCCGTAAAATGGAAGGAGCTGAATTCTTCAAGCTTAGCTAACCTCGCTCCATCCAAAAGGAGGCTGATTTCATAGCCGTGTGATCTCTGAGACTTCCCAACAGGTCAGAGTGATAGTAGTTTTGCAAATGGAACCTCAGAGAGGTTAAGTGAGGAATTCATTCTCTCAGTCTGAAAAGACTGGTAAGCCAGGATTTGGATGCAGGCTTGATGATTTCATTCTTTTGTATGATAAGCAAGGAAAACAAGAATGGAAGGGGCCCTGGAGGTTCTCACTGGGAGCCCTGATCACTGAGTGTCTGGCAGGAAGCAGCTCATAGGACTCAGCTAGAGGCATACTACAGGGGCCCAGTGTTCTTCACTGGGCTGGGGACTGACAGAGCTGTGATCCCATCTCAATCTACAGATTTTGCCATGTGTTGGGGGTAGAATCTTGATGAGGAGCCAGGATGTGGTCAGAATGACCCTCAGGCCATACAGCTCAAAGATGGAAGGAGTCTCTGAGGTGAATAAAAGTGTTCTTTGTCTCACTGTGTCACACGGTAAGTGAGACAAAGGGCTCCTTCCGGGATTTTGAGCAGCTTCTCTGGCCCCAGACCTAAGACTCAAACACCACTCTCAGAGTTTCCAGAGCCCATGAACCACAGCAGCATCTGGGGTCACAGGAACTGCTTTCGGGCTTCAGGAACGCAATGCTTTCCTACCATGTCACATGCCTCAAAGTAGCTACAGAAGCCTAGGTGGATGTGTCTTGGGAGACTTTTGGGGGTAGATACTGCATTCATTTGGAACCTTCCAGATGGACCTACATCTTGAGCCTTAAACACTTCAGAAGGTACACTGAATGGGCCTTCTTTGTCTAGAATCTAGGGGTCCTCTCACACTGTGTAATCCAGCCGATCCTTCTGGAAGCATCCAGAAAGTTATTAGATGTGCTCTGGGGGCACTTGGACAAAGATGTTTCTGTAGCATTCCTGGTGGAAGGGAAGCAGAAGAATTCAATACACATGTTCATCACAGCAGAATGGATGAGCGAACTGTTCGCGTCATGCCTCAGAGAGCAAGTGAATTGCTTCGGGGCCATCATACCGAGGGGAAGAGTTAGTCTCATGATGCATAGAGCATGGCTTTGACTTATGGAAAATCAAAGTTCAGGATGGTGGTGTTTGTGGATGTAGTTCTCAGGGAGGAAAGAAGCTGGAAATTGTGTGTGTGTGTGTGTGTGTGTGTGTGTGTGTGTGTGTGTGTGTGAGAGAGAGAGAGAGAGAGAGAGAGAGAGTTTATAGGAACCTAGAAGGATGTCCAAGGTCAGTCTAGGGCATGTGGGTGTGTGGGTAGGCTGTGAGTGTTCTTATTTTATATTACAAATATTTATGGAAGGCATTTGCCTTCTAACAGCTATAGAGCAGTTTAAAAGCAAAGAATTTTAATAAAATACAGATGAAAACAGGTCAGTTCCTATTGCACCCTTTGGAGATGTTTATTTGTGTCTGTCTGCCCCGATTTGTACAGGACAGAGAGGGCTGGAACTGGGTTATGTTTCAAGGGGAGACCTGCCTCTTTTTTTTCCTTCTCCTTCTCTACCTCCAGTAGGTATCTGCATCAGGGAAAATGTTTCTTTTTTGTGCTTGAAATGGAAGGAAAAGGTTTTAGAGACGTTGTTTTTCTGGGTTAGATAGGGAAGGCAAGAGGAGAGAATTTCATCTGGTCTAAAGAATTAGATTTGGGCCTCAGTGGAGGCAAGATGGCACAGAGACTGACTGCTTTAGTCAGCAAATGACATAGTGAGACTCTGAGCTCTGGAAGGCCCACATCAGGGTCCAACTCCAAACAGACTCAAGTAAGTACTAGACCCAAGGCTCACGGGGAACTGTGGAATCAGAGCCAAGAAGCAGATCTGGAAGGGGACAGGACCCATCACACCAGAGCCTGATCCTCAAGCTGCCTCCAAGAACAGCTCCTGGGCCCCATAGGGACAGTGCTAGGTTTGCTTTCAGGAGGGTTCAAGACACCTGTCACATCTCCCAGTGACAACTAGGGGAGACTTGTTGAGAGAAGTAGTAACACTGTTTGGCAGGTGGGAGCTTAGAGTCCTCAGGATTTGGGTATTAGTACTAATAGAACAATGCTTATATGCACAGCTGTCATTAAATAACATTTGATTAAATGGTTTTTAATGGTTGCCATAGTATTCTCTCTTTTTTAAATGTATTGGGGTTAATTTTTCTGATGCCTTATTGTAACAAAATTAAGTGGTTTCTCTCTACAAGCCACACTGCAATAGGTGTTTGTGAATGTACTTTTGAGAGTGCTAGATATGTAGATTTCTATTTTGAATGTGTGTATATAGGGGAGGTACATGCATGTGCGTATGTATGTTTGTGTGTATGCAGGTATATGTATGTGTATATATATATTGAGAAAAGATCAACTTTTCTGTATGTTTCTTGGACACAGTTATTTTTACGTCGTTGAAGCCTTTGGCCATTTTTGTCTGTGTGTTGATACTTTTCTGACAATTAACTGTGGTATCTATATGTTGAGGGGGGGCACCTCTCCCTTTTTTTTTTAAACCATACATTTGGCATTTTCTTCTCAGCTTGTATTTTTAAGATTTGGCACCATTTGTGCTTTTCCCCTTGTGATGATTTTAAAGAAAATGGTCCTCAAAGGGAGTGGCACTATTAGGAGGTGTGGCCTTGTTGGAGGAAGTGTGTCACTGTGGGGGCAGGCTCTGAGGTCTCTTCCTCAAGCTTCCCTCAGTATGACTGTCAGTTGGCTTTCTGTTGCAAGATGTAGGACTCTAAGCTACTCCAGCACCACATCTGCCTGCATGGTGCCGTATTCCCACCATGATGATAATGGACTGAACCTCTGAAACTGTAAGAGAACCACCCCAGTTAAATGCTTTCCTTATAAGAGTTGCCATGGTCATGGTGTCTTTTCACAGCAATAAAAAACCCTGACTAAGATACCCTTTTACTTAGAAATAATCTTAAGTTTATAGAAAAGTTGCAAATATAGTACAAAGACTCTTCTCTCTCTTCTCTCTCTCTCTCTCTCTCTCTCTCTCTCTCTCTCTCTCTCTCTCTCTCTCTCTTTTTCCTGACTCACTTAAGAGCAAGAAGCTGACTTGGTGCTCTTCCATCTCTGGCTACTGTAGTGTGTGCTGCAAGCAGGGGCTTTCTCCATCCTAACCACAATGTCAACTTCAAGCGCAGAAAATTAACCTCACATATAGGCCTCAACCTTTCTCAGAGGCCCCTGGGTTCTGTCCAAACACTCAGCCTTTGCCAACCATCTCGACATGAAGTTCTTTATTTTCATCTTGGAAAGTCTCATACTTGTTTACAGTTTATCTCAATCACATCCATCCCTTCCACTTACAGGCACCAGACCCTAACACATTCCTCCCAACTTCATGTCTTTTTTTTTTTTGATAACTCATCTTAAAAGTATATTAACATTTCAAGTATCCTGAGTTTGTTTCATTTCTCTCCTGGTACTTTCTTTGTGGGTCTTATACTATTTTGATTATTTAAGCTTTGCAGTGCATTTTCATACACACAGAGCAAATATCCCTTCAGTCTTCATGGTACTTTCAGGAGACTTACAAGTAGCTTATTTTTGTAGAGAAACTTAGGGATATTGCTATGTGTAGCTCTCTTTTAATTTTATCAGAGCAGTGTTCCTAACCTTTGTAATGCTGTGACCCTTTATTACAATTCCTCATGTTGTAGTGACCCCCAACCATAAAATTATTTTTGTTGCTACATCAGAACTATAATTTTTCTACTGTTAGGAAGCATAATATAAACCTCTGAGTTTTCTGATGGTCTTAGGTGACCATTGGGAAAGGGTCCTTTGGCTCCTTTGACCTGTGGTTTGAGAACCACTGATCTAGGGACAAGGTCCAGTGCTTGGACCTTGTGCTAAGTAGCAAATCTCTCTTTCATGGATGGCCACAAGACATAGACTTAGAAGGCACTGAAACACAGGTAATAGGACTCCACGTGACACTGTCAATCTTCACATGTCACCACAGCCACCTCTGACTAGAGGGACGCATGGTTATTCTGCAGACCACAAGCAAAGTTTCCTCCAAGCTTTTGCACACTAGTATTGGAAAAGGGACTGAAACCCTACTTTGGATCCATAAGCTCCTTTGAACCAATTCTGGAATCTGGATTTCAAGTGGAAATCCTGGATGCTGGTGTGTTTAAAACCATTTTAATAGAAGCTCTAGGAGGACTTCTATGTGTGAAACCAAGGGGAAAATAGGGAAAACCTAATGAGGAGTCTGCCGTGAGGGTCTTTTCAATAGCCTAGTGTCTGAGTTCATTTTCAATTGCTATGACAGAATACCAGGGACTCGGCAACTTATGAAGGAAAAGAGTTTATGGAGGTGTCTATTCCAGAAGTTGGAAGTCACATATCAGGCAGAAGAGTCTGGCGAGGGTCTCAGATCGTTAAAATGAGGTACAGATGTAGGGGGCAAGGCAGCAGGTGCAGAAGAGAGAAGACACAAGGGCGAGCCTCACTTCTCCCTTGCCTGTGCTTATGATCATGGGCACATTTCCACGAGAAAGGCACTAATAATCATCACATGTCAGTGATCTTCACGTTGCTGTGACCTAAATGTCCAATAGAGGTAACTGAAGAGTGGGGAGGCTTCTCTGGGCTTGCCCGTTCAGGGCAGCTCATCCGACGGTGGCAGAAGCCTGTGGCAAAAGACAGCAGCTGATACTATGGTTCACCTGGAAGAAGAGAATGCATCTGAACCAAGGACCAAGCATAAACCACTCCCTCCAACTAGGCCCCTCCTTCCTTAAGGTTCCAGGAGCCTGTTGGGAACATTTCACACTGACAGTCTAACTACCTCTTAAAAGCCTTACCATTAATTGTTAGCCATGATGGCAATTAAATTCCCATCTGATGGGGCAGGCAAGATGGCTTCGGGGTAACGGTGCTTGCCACCAAGCCTGATGACCTGAGTTCAATTTCTGGAATCCCCATGGTGGTAGGAGAGAACCGGTTACCTGGTGCTGTTCTCTGACCTCCACATACACACACACAAGTGCACCCACACCCACTCTCATCCACCCATATCCACAGCACCACCTCCCACACAAAACAGATACAATAAAAACTTTTAAAAAATATCCAACCCCAGTCTTGGAGATGACAAGCCATATTATAGGCCATGTCCCTGAGACACACAGGGGGCATGCCAAACTCTGCCTTCTCATTGTTAGGACGCCTTGGCCCTGCTGGTGACTGATGTTCCCATGCATTATCCTGACCACCGCTGGCCTGGCTTGACCCCCCCTCCCTTTGAGGCTGGGTCTCAAGTTATACCTGAATCTGTCCTCTGTTCTATTCCCAGCCTGGGCCATCTGAGCTCCTTAAAAGCACCCTGAGGACAGAGCTATGCAAATATGCAAATGGAAAGACCTGGGTTCTTGGGGTAAGCCTCCCACCCCCCAAGACGCTCTTTCTTCTGGTAAATCTTCACTATTGAAAAGACATAGAGTGCTGTTTGTTTCTTGGCATGAAGAAGAAAACAGAACCGAATGTCTCCATGGTGCCGGGGATTGCATAGCTTACCTTATCTGACCTTCACAGGAGCCTTGGATGAATGATGCTTCTATCCATCTTACAGAAAAAGAAACCAAGGTTATTGAGTTTACAGAACTTACACTAAACCATGCAGCAGATTAATGGTGCAGTCAAGCAAACACTCAGGTCCATAGACATGATACTAATATCTTCCATGTGCCAGGCACCATGCTTTGGGTGCATAGTTGTGTACCTATTGGCTAGGACTTGAGCAGATATGATCCCTATTTTCCTCCCAGCCTCTCTCCATTGCAGACACAATGTGCATAGATTTTTTGGAGGCTCATCTATGGAGCTGGAAGTGCTTGGAAACACACTGGAGAGGTGAGGATGTGGGCAGCCTAAGATGGAGTCTTCTGCTATCTGCTGGGCCAGGTGGGTGAGCATCCTTTGCTTGTTTCTTTTTTCCTCCTTGGCTCAAGGAAGGAGGGACAGCTTGGGTTTTGCAAAGACAGAGGACTTCTGACAGCCTGCAGGCTGCTTTCCCCCTATTCAGATGGATCAAACTCACAGACCATCTCTCCCCAGCTGCAGGCTTGTGGAATAGGAAAACCACTCATTTCCCTCTGAGAGAGAGAGGCGCCCAAAGCAGATATTTCAATATATTCCAATTTAGCCGAGGGAAGCCAGAACATGGATGTTGTTGCCAAGGAAACCACCCCCTTCCTCCCAGTGTACTGTGCATACGTGTATCATTCCATCTCTTGGCTCTCCAAGGTAATATCATAGCTCCGTGCTTGGGGGAGGGTTTTTAAAAGGCATATAAAACCTCTTAGCATCGAGAAAATTCATTAAATGACCTCATTCCAGAGAAGCTTAAATTATTCTTTTTAGACCCTTTATGCTGAAGACAGGGAAATGGCTGAGTCAGTCCTATCTCTTGTAGCCCAGCTCAGTGTCTGGGTGGAAAGGTTTTTTTTCAGAAATAAACAAATTAGTATTGGGAAGTGCAGGCAGGCGAGTGTGTGTGTGCAATAATAAGGAGGCCGTTCTGTGACTCCAATGTCACTGGTTAATTCCTGTGTGTGGATCTGCCAAGACCACCTTGATCCACAGCCCTCCTGGGTGGGAGGCCACACTTCACAGAGCAGGCCTCAAAGCTGAGACAAGAGACAGTCTATTGCAAGGCCACCTGTCAAAGGATTCTGGAATTACGTGGGGGGCTTCTGTTATTCAGTCTGCTGTATCTTAGGCTTTTTTATTTGTCCCTAGCTGGCATCTGGTCTGAGTCTCCTTCTTTCCTCATTCCTGCCTGCCCTGTGACGGGGTGTTAATGTCCCTCCACACCCTCCACCCCAGGCCAATCCAACACCATTCTCACTTCTCATCACAGAAATCCTTTGCTCTGCTTCCTTTCAGCCCTTCCAGGCTTTTAGTGCTGGGATGAACCCTGTACATTGAACATACAGATAAATATTGGGATCCCTCTTTCAATTAGTGGCATAAGCTGAGGACTTTGCTTTACATGTTATAGGGTCTCCCATAGGGACAATTTTGCTTGTGCTATCATAGGTGAGGGACATTCATATCTAGTAGGCCTAAGAGACCCAGATACTGTTCCTCAGGACACCCTACAGCTAGTAATTGGTCACCCGCAAACCCAGCAGTGCCAAGGCTGCAAGATGCTGACTTCCTCCCTTCTACTTTGTTCACTCATTAAAAAAAAAGATTTATTTTATTTTATGTGTGCATGTGTGGGCCTGGTTGTATATATTTGCGTCATGTGCATGCAGGTGTCTGCAGAGGTCAGAAGCCGGTGTTGGATTCCCCTGGCACTGGAGTTACAGGAGACTGTGAGCCATTGATGTCTGGGCTGGGACCCGAACCTGGGTCCTGTGTAAAAGCAGCAAGTGCTCTCAACTGTTCATCCTTCTCTCTCTAGCCCCACTTATTTTTACATGCCCCCTCCTTTTTGTGTAAATATTGACTGTCTAATTACTATGCACCAGCCTGTAAGCCCAGGTCTAGTGACATAAACTGAACAAGATGGATGCAGTATTTCCATTTATCATCAGAGTCCATAGTTAGGACTGGGACGGTCATCTCTTTTGGACTTGCTGACCTAGTTCTGAGGTCCTCCTAGTACTCACTGCAACTTATTCTAGCTACTGGATAGAGTGGGGGTGGGGTGGGACTTTTACAGCCACCCATCCAAGTGTGGTTGCTGGACCTGGTGTGGTTTCCTCCCATGGCTTCCTCCATGTATACACCTCAGGCTCTCTTAGTGTAAGCTTTGCTGCAGCAGCAAGCATGCTGGGTTAATAAAAACCATCTGAGATGGGACAAAGGCCAAGACTCTGTCATCTTGCAAGGGGACTCTGGGACAACTCTATCATGACATGTTTGCTATCTAGGTGGGCCTTACCAATTCTTACCTCCCAGATTCTTGCTTCCAGCCGCTTCTCTCATAGCGTGTCTCTGTGAAGTTGTTCAAGGTTTAGACTTTTAAACCAGATAACCCGTAGCACTTATTTACAATGTGACCGTGGACAAGTTACTTCGCTTTTATGAGCCTCATTGTTCCTCTTCCACAAAATGGGGCTAATAACAATAGTACCTATTTTGCACAGTTATTGTGAGATTGAAGGGGCTGTTGTTTCACGTGGAGTTCTTGGTTCACAGTAAGTTCCCTGTGAGTTATGCTGCCAGTATTGCTGTCAGTGTTTCCGCAGCCTGTTGGCCCAATAGATACAGACAAAGAAGAATCTTCAGCCCCTCTCTGTATCTCACAGGCCATCTATTTGCCTCAGTGGCACTCAGCCACGCCAAAAGTGACATGAACCTTCTTGCCGAGAGGCCACTGGTGTTGTGAAGCATGTTGAAGCTTTTCACAGGCAGAAGGAAGAGGACAAGGCTGTGGAAGCAGACGATGTGATGGAAATGCGCCCGTTACAGTTCCCTGATGCCTGAATCCACAGCTAGCTCTGCATGGCTGTGTCCTGCATCACCTGCCCATCATCAAGAGGTCTGGATGAGGGAGACATCTGCCCTGGCTGACATCCGGCCACTGTGGAGGGAGACTGTGTCTTGCCCCTCATTCCAGGGCCACTGTGAACAAACAGTGGGTGAGATTCCGGGCTCGGAATGATACTGGTGTGTACAGAAGCAGACAGGTGCAGGGAAGGGGAGTCTCTTTTTGTGAACAGGTACATTAGTTACTTCTATAATAGTTGTGATAAAAGAAATAGGCACCCGAGAAAAGCGACCTGAAGGAAGGGTTTGTTTTGGCCTTTGGTTCTAGGGGATGCAGTCCATCTGAGTAGGGGAAGGGGTAGCAGTGTGAGCAGGTGGTGGGTGTCATTACATCCACAGTCCAGAACCAGAGAGCAATGAATGAACGCTAGCGCTTATCTTGATCTCTCTTTTTATTCTGTTCATGATCCCAGCCCAAGTCACAGTGCTGCCACAATTGAGGTGAGTCTTCCCGCCGCAGCTAAATTAATCTGGATTATCCCTCACAGGTGTGGCCACAAGATTTTCTCTTAGATGAGTTTAGATCCTGTCAATTTGTTGGCCGTCACAGCAGGGCCAAGAGGCTGGTGTGTGTCACCTCATGTTACCTTCCAATCACACTGTGGAAGAGAGCTGTTGAGTCCCTTGCTCGGAATGTCCCAGCCAGAATATGACAGTCCAGGATTGGCTGTTGTGGTCTGTCTGCCTTTAAAGCTCACACTGTGACCTTGTATTTTGTGTTCCTGGGCTGCCGTAACAAAATTCCATGGGCTTGATGGCTAATGTAGGGCAGGTATTTATTTCTCACTGTCCTAGAGGCTTAAAGCCCAATACCAAGATGTTGTCAGATTTGGTGTCTGATGTAGGCCCACTTGCTGCTTTGAAGATTGTGTCTGTTTGTTGTGACCTCATATGAAGAGCTGAAGGGTCTCTCTGGTATCTCTTTCATAAGGACTCTAATGCTGTTTGAGATGGTGCTACGCTTATAGCTCATTCATCCCTTACCCAAAGGCCCCACCACCCAATAGCAGTGCTTTGTGGGTTAGAATCCCAGTGCATAGTTTTGAGAAGGCTGTCAACATTACCTCTGTAACATATGTGTTGTTGCTTATGACCAACTGGATGAACTCCATTGCACAAAAGAACTGCCACCACGGGTTCCCTATCTGGTTACCTTGGGTGATCAGGGTCAGTAGAGGTAGTCTGCCTATTACAAGACACCTATAGTTCCTACGCAAATAGGCTGTGGCCATTTGTTGTAAGGGCTCTGGACTTTCCACTGCCTTGGACTCAGAGACCCTGCTGCCTTATGCCTGGGAGACACCCTGGGAAACAGTGACACATGTCAGGATCCAGGGCTCACACTGATAGTTCCTTTCATCTTATTCTTTCCTCACCTTACCTACCTGCTAATCTCACTTTCACACACACACACCCTGCTCTATTACCCTCCTCAGCCTGTTCTCAGCTTTTGTTCCTTATGATATGGAGACCTGGGTGAGTAAAGTCATTAAAGTCATTATTCCTTGCACAGAAATGTCATTCACCCTATTCATATTTAACATTCTCCCCACATGATCTTTTGATGCTTTTAAATGCCCAGTATGACATTATACACACACACACACACACACACACACACACCCCTCGGTAGAGACATGAGGAGGCTCTTTGTTACCTATTTACTAATTTATAAAATAATTTATTTTATTTTGGGAGTTGATTCCGTCTGCTGCTGACAATAGTGATTGTGGGGGTTGGAGAGTTGGGTGACACTGGGATAGGAGAAGGTATGACAAAGTTCTGGATTCATGCTCCAACAGTCACTTGTCATTTCTGGTCCAGGTGTCTATCTGTAAAACAGACCACACTCTGTTAAGTCCTTATATTTTATATTACTTGGATTTATTTTGGTGGGGGGTAAGTGATGCTAGCAACTGCTTTACATTCTAATATACCTCAAGAGGGGTGCTGGAGAGGAGGTAAACCAAAGACAGAGGGGCGCCCTGAGAGCAAGCTCTCCCTTTAGCTCTTTGTGAAGGGAGAGAGGTCAGAATAACTGTCAATGTTTCCCTTCTCACCTCCAGATCGAGATGCCAGGGACAGACTACTCCCAATCAAGAGTCCTTTTGCTTCACTTAGATTGAAATCATGAGTGGGCAAGGGGAAGGGTTGGCCTGCAGCAGATGGAAGAGTAGGCAATACGGATGGGAGCATCAGCAGGTGGCGCCCTCTAGTGCCACAGACATTTGGTATTGGGCCCCATATCCCCACAAGTGTTACAGCTCTGCTGTGGGCCAGCCTTTAGTCATGTTAATATCTAGGCAGGCTGACATGTCAGATTCCTCAGCCCTTAGCTGCAGCCAATGCTAGTGATCATGTGCACATCCCAGAAGTTGTGATCCCTAAGCCCTTCCTTAACCAGGCCAGGGTTACAGCTCTCAGCCTCAGGTTTGAGACCCAGGGCCCTGAAGACTTGGCAGCTCTCTGGACAATGTCGTTTATCCCTCATCCCCAGTTCTCTGCCTTCCCTCACCATCTCTCTGCTATCCATTGCTCTTCTTTTCCCTGCGCTGGCCTCATAAGAACCACTCAACTGCTTCTGTCCCCTTGCTCTTTTTGCAAATGGGCTGCCCACTGCTCAACTGTCATTGCCACTGCTCTTCCGTAAAGATAAATGGCACACTTGATGAGGGTATAGGTAACTATTTATTTGTGGCAAGTACTTACAGGAGAAAACTGGCAACCACGGTGAATCAGCAGCTTTCACTACAGGACCCGAAGCCCGAAAGAAAGCATGCGTCTCTCCTGCACCGCCTTTTATTACCACATCCGTTTAGTGGGCATGGCTAGCAGCTCAGTCCTAATGTCTCTTCCTACACTCTTCTACTGCTGCTTTCTCTGTGTCACCAGCTACCACTCCCCCACTGAAAACAGGCCAGGAAAGGCCACTATGGAAAGGCCCATTGCTGTGACACCAGCAGCTCAGGGAAGAGTCCAAAAGCTGCTGCTAACTAGAGAGGCTAATTGACCCATCCCATCCCAGGGACCCTGGGCAACCTGCTTCCGTAGGTTCCAGACCAATCACTGCCATTTGTTTGCACCAATCACAGTCATCTTTATTTTGCACTGTCCAGTTATTGACACTTATATTTTGCACCATTCACAGCCTCACCTCTTAGCGTCTGTCATAATAGGCCCTCTGCTAGGTGAACAGGGCACATGCTCCCTCTCTGGAAATGGTTGCAGGATCATCCAGTGTTCTTGGTGGCTTGCGATACCCAAGTTTGGTACAAATTATTTCAAACAGCCCTGGCTGAGGTTGATTATTTCTTCAAGAGCAGCAATAATCAATTACAATCTTTGCTTAGTTGTCTCAGCACATTCATGGAGTGTTTTAGATGTCTGATGCTGGCCTAGGAGTGGCCCAGTTAGATGTTTGACTGACAGGGGTTTTTTTTTCTTCTTCTCAGAGCAGCCAGGTGAGCAAGGCAACAAGGGAGGAGAGAGTCCAACAGCTGCTAACTGGAGAGTCACACCGGCCAATCTCCCAAAACCCTTGCTTATTTGCATGATAATGAACACCAGGAGTGCTTATAAATATAAATTTAAAGACCTTGTCATTAACACTAATTGTGATTTTAAAATAGTGTGTGTGTGTGTGTGTGTGTGTGTGTGTGTGTACGGATGCACTTAGAGGATTAAAGTCAACTCCAATCCGGGTATCCTATACCAGGCTGCAGCTGAAACCCTGTAGCAGATATGCAGAGAAGCACCATGGAGGATCAATGAGTGAAGGGTATGATCTGGCAGCACAGAGTCACAGTGACTGGAGCCGGCACTGCTTGCCCTGCTGGAAGAATGAGAGCTTTGAGCAGCACCACCGCTCAGAGGCTGCAAGGACAATGGTCATGCCCTAGGAGCCTAGGTGCAGCAGGCATCCAGGACAGGAGATGTGCAGCCCCCTGGAGCTCTCATGGATCCTGCCCCTGGATGCCCTGCCTAGCTGAGAGATCATCCTGACTGTGGGCAACAGCAGGATATCCATAATGAGTCTTGGTGATGGTCCAGCATTTACAGTGCCTCAGAAACCAGAAACCTTGAACCAGGCCAATGACTCATTGCAATGAGTATTTGCACGTAAAGCTGTTTGGGTAAAACAATGTACCGTGGGACACACTGCAGTTTGCAATGCCTCGCCGATGAACAAATAGGTGATGGAGAGGTAGGAAAAATGGAGGAAAGAAGTGACTGGTGCATAGTGGAAAGAGGCAGAACTAGAGATGCCATGGTGGTGGCAAGTGTGGGAGAAGGCTTCCTGGTGTACAGGGGAGAGTGCAGTTGTCAGCAAGGGCCGGCAGGGTGGTATGCAGCAGCCTAGAAGCTTGTATAGGCTTTACTCCCAAACATGCCAGCCAGTCACATGATCACCCTGGCTCTGAGCAATGAGAGGATGTCCAAGATGGAGAATGGTTCATTTTCTGGATTGGGCCTCTTCAAAGACCTCCAGGATCCATGCTGCCCCCGAGGTCATCTATCTTGATATCAGTGATCCGTGTTATAGCTGTGGGGTGTGCTGGTGCCATGGTCTGTGCTGCCCATTGACTGTGTTGATACCCAAGGTCCACGTGGATACCTGTGGTCTGTGCTCCTGCAGGAGGCCACGTTGATATCTGTGGTCTGTACTGCCACCAGACACCATGCTGAAGTCCATGGGCCGTGCTCATGCCAGTGAAAGTCCATAATCCTTGCTGCCACTGACTGTAAAGAGCAAGGAAGCTTCTTTTGCAGTGGTATCGATGGCTGCAGACTCACAGCTGAGAATAAGAGACTCAGAAGGGTTCTGTGACAACCTCTCTCCTTCATTACCCTGCCCCTGGAGAAAAAGAAACAGACTAGACAGGGAACCTTTGAAGAGAACTCTTTAACAATTGTGATAGGGATTCTATAGTGTAGCTCTTCACAGGTGATGGCTTCTGGTGGGAGTGGGGATGGGGAAGTTTTCTTTAAGGGGCCAGCCATGGGAGTTTGACCATGCTCGGGGATCTGAACTCTGTTTCTCGGGCTTGTGTGGCCTTCTGCAGCAGACGCTTTTCCACCTGAGCCATGTTCCCGGATTGTGATTTTTGTTTTTAGTAAAAGGATTTTAATAATGGTTTCCTGGAGCTCTGGGGAGAGGTGGGTCTCCCTTGACTGACTCAAGATATGTGTTGGTTCAGTTTCGGTCACACACCCAAGGAGAGAGCTGAGTGTTTTTTTGATTGACAGTTGTACTACAGTTCCCTCCAGTGAGGGAAAGGGATTCTTCAAAGTAAGACTATTTCTAGGAGTACATTTCTTAGTAGGAGAACCATTTGGTGCCTTCCATACCTTTCAGACAATGAGAGCCTGTGACACCCCAGACAGAGGACAAGAGGAAGAGATCGGGCTTTTTGGTTCTTAATCTTTCCCCAGCAGGTACAAGTCTGGGCCTCTGAAGTTGCCTACTCCCCCTTGGGGAGCCCAAATATTCCTGGGAAAAACGTTTGTGTCTTTGTGAACTGTATAAATCACAATACTATGAAAGCATCCATGGAGAGAACCTAAGAGAGTAGGTGTGGCTATGTCCCAACAAAGCTTTATTTGCAACAAAAGGAGCAGCAGGCTAAATTGGATCTGCAATCACAGTGTGCTAGCTCTGGTTCCTTTCAAATTTATCTATCTGTGGGTCCCCGAGACAGTGGTTGCCCTGCTTGGCAACTGCGCCAGACTCTTCCCAGGACCAATGGAGGATTCAGATGCCCAGGACCCACTGTGATCATGAATTAAGTTTTGCTGGTAGACTTGGGTGTCTTTACTTTTAGCAATTGCCTTCTGGATTCTGAATTACACAATATTATGAGGTGGTCTTTAAGAATCAGTCTTGAACTGCTGCCAAGGGCCATGTCTGGGTCCATGGCACTACCAGTGTCTGTGGTGATGATGTTCATGGCTCCTGATACCACTGAAGGTCATGTTAATGCCAGGGGTCTGGGCTGCTACCTGGGACCATGTTGGTGTTCAAGGACCTTGCTGCCACTGGGGCCATGCTGATCTGGCTGGCCTGTGCTGCTACCATGCCACCATGCCACATGTCTGGATCCATGTGCCTGCTACAGCTTGGGCCCGTGTCATCACAGGGGGTCATAGGAACCACGCATGTTGAAATCCAAGGGCCTGCTGAGCCAGCCCCTCCTGTCTTTAACTCTGGGATAGCTGACCTTAACACCTTGCTGGACACTACAGCAAGACAGCTGGCCCTGCTCCTCACCTTGGGCGTGGGAGAGCTATTCCTGATGGCATGGGCCTAGGAGAGGTGGCTCTGCTGCTTGCCTAAATGGGGTGGTCCCAGTGAACCAGACCAACTAGCTCAGCTACCACCTAGACCCACATCCTGAGCCTTGGGCTGGCCAGCCCTAACATCTATCCCATCTATGACCTGCTGAAGTGTGTGAAGAGATTGGTCCTATGGAATGAAAACCACACGATTCCCATGACTTGGAGCAACAGCGGGATATCCTACAGGGTAAAGTGATGGTGGTGTGGCAGAGGCCTTGAACCAGACTAATGACTCATTGCAATGAACTTTTTGTAGGTAGGGTTGATTGGACAAAAGGGTATATACTTCATGACACACCACAGCACCCAATGCCACTAGGATGAGGGAAGAGGTATTGGAAAGATGGAGAAGCAGGGTGTGTTTTGTTTGTTTTGTTTTGTTTTAAATTGATTTTGGAGGAGGTTTCTTTTGGAGGGGATGCTCAGGGGCTAGGACAGGATAGAGAGGAACTGGGAGGTGAGCAGGATTGGGGTGCCTGGTGCGAAATTCCCAAAGAATCAATAAAAAATTATGTTACAAAAATTAGTGGGAAAAATCAACTTTGGAGACAAAATGATCTTACATGGAATGCAGATATAGTTGATGAAGAGTAGTGATCTTGGCAGTGGTGTAAGGCTAGTTGTTTGCAGGGCAGCTGTCCTGGAGGAGCCCAAGGTTGCTCTGGACAAGAAGTCCAGCTGCCTGTCTCAGTTATCCTGGATTTTCCTCACTGGGTTCTGCCAGGAGGGGAGTTGATTAAAAATCTAGGTGTGAAATCTCAGCTACTCAGTTCTCCAGCAGGTCTGTGCTGCCATTCTGCAAGAGTAATACCTATGACTTGGTTTCTCCCTCTCCCCTCTGCCCCTAGTCTCCCCTTCTACTCTGAATGCCTTTTCCCTTCCTTCAGACCTGCTGGTCACAGACCCTTCCTCTTACTTCCTGGTGACATCCAGGCTCTGACAAGTCTAGGGCCTTTTTTGCTGTGATTCTTAATGGAATCAAGATTCTGGGATGTCTCCCATTTCTCCCCTCTTCCTGTGATTTCTTTTCTCACAAACACTCACCCCTAAAACCTGTAAGGTCTCTTCTCTCGAGGGACACACCTTGTTGCCGACAGTAAAGATGTTCCAGTCATATAGAGAATGAGTTCTTAGCATGTGAGTCTGGCCCAGAGCCTCTGACAAGCTCTGCTGCCCACCTTGGGACGAGGCATTTGCTGCACTGGGAGGCACCTGTCACCTGACCAGTTTTCAACTTTCCTTTTGGCAACAGTGTACCGTTATTCTTGGGAATCCACTCCACCCCACCCTGAGTTCATGTAGACCAGGCAGCATAACTTCAAGGTCGACATGTTACCCCTGCCTGAAAATCAGTGCATCTGATTCTTCTAACCACACTGACTGGTTCAGGGATGGGTAGGTAAATGCTAGTCTGGGATTTCTTGGAGGAGGGAACTCTGCACATGGGGTAGGGATGCTGACAGCTTGGGGCTGTTGGAACCCACAAACACAGGGAATAGAAAGTCAAGAAAGACTCACAGCTTGTGGTCTAGCTTTCACTCTTTGTAGCACTTTAAACAGATGAATTGGAAAACCTTCATCAACCAGTTCAGACTCATTCTCACCCAGAGCAGCAAGATGAATCCCAGGCTTGAGGTGCCCAGAAAGCTTGGCCAGAGAAGGTGCTGGCTATACCCTGTGTCTCAGCTATTTAGGACACATTGAAATCCACTCTAGTTTCATTTCTGTTTCTGTGATAAAACACCCTGACTAAAAAGCAACTTTAGGGGAGTGTGGGTTTGTTTGCTTTACAATTCCAGGTCACAGTTCATCATGGATATAAGTCAAGGCTGGAACTCATGCAGCTAAATTACATCCAGTCAAGGGCAGAGAGAAACAAATGCAACCATTCTATCTACTTGCTTGCTATTAAGCTGCCTCTCCAGTCGTATACAGTTCATGGCCTAGCCTAGGGAATGGTGCCGACCTCAGTGGATTGGGTGAGGTAACAGTCAAGACAATCCCCAATAGGCCAACAAGGCACGCCGGCAGGCCAACCAGATCTGGATCATGCCTCATTAAGATTTTCTTCCTAGGTGATTTTAGGTTGTGCCAAGTTGACAGTTAAACTATTACAAAACAGTTAAACTATCATAGGCAAATGAAGAATTTTTCACTCATGTAGTCCCACTGAAGGAAGAAGTGGAGAAACTAAGGTTTAGATACCATTACCATATGTGTCTTAGAAGGACACAAACATGAAGATTGCAGAAATCAGAACACCTTCCTGGCTGGTCATAATAGCCTGATGATCTGGTCATAATAGCATAATAATCTGACGATCTGATCATAATAGCTTCTAATCCATGGTAACTTCTGAGTCTGAGTAACTGCACTCCTGAAATAGTAGCCATCATTAACAGGACCTTACTTCCATGGATTTTATGATCTTCTAATCTCTGTTGTCACTTCCATCTTGTCCAAGAATTAATCCCTCTTCTTGTCTTGAGAAAATAGTGAATGTCCAGTGGGGACATTAACTCTTTGCTACCACAACTTGACCTGTAAAGACACTGCTTGCCCTACAGACCTCTTCTAAACAAAGACTAATGCTACCAATACTCCTTAATTCATCACTTGCTCCTGCTCTATGGACCTCATTGTCCAGATCCTACTCTGACTATTCTGTCTTCAGTCCCATCAGTAATCAGATACATTTGCACCTTCGCACTCACAATGACATTTTTCCAGGTCCTCATACTCCCTACACTAACCTGCTTCTGTTTTTATCACTTCTCTCCCCATTCATAGCCAAGCTGTTTAGGGAAAGGGTCTAAATCTCCCATTCCTTCACTTACCACCTGCCATTCAGCCCATTTCATTGGGGCTTCCTCCTCATCCTCATCCCCTTCTCAGGCTGCTCTGACCAAATCAGCATCATGACCACCATGCTGCCAACCCCAAAGGATGCCCTTTGTCCTTGCTTGCTTAAGTTTGCAGAAGTGATGGGCACAATCAACAGCTCCCACCTCAACACCTTCCATGCCTGTTTTCATAGCAGGAGCTAGACTGTTTTTTTGTTGTTGTTGGTGGTGGTGTTGTTGTTTTTTGTTGTTGATGATGATTTTTTTCCATTTCTCTCCTCCTCTGTCTCCTTGGAGTAAATTCTCCCTTTGCTCGTTCTTCACCTCGGTGCTTCTCAAAGGCTGAAGTGCTTAAACATCATCCAGGCAGCTCATTAGCATGCAGATGAGAATCTCAGGCTCCACACACTGCACATTCTGATTCTGTAATTTTGATGCAGGGCCAAGAATCTGCCTGTTATAAACACCCTTGGTTACCTTTGGGCTACATTTTGAGAAATCTTGTCATAATTGGTGATGGTCCTTGGCCTTGGACTGTTCATCTTTCTGATTCTCATTTCTTTTGCCATCTTATGTATCCCAAGCCACCAGGCACCAACTAAAGTATGTTTTCTATACCCAGTTCAGTGACTTCTCTGGAACTTCAGAACCAGATATTTAACCATCCACAAGGCAC